GAAGAAAACAACGATGCCAGTCTCAACAAGTCAAACTAACATGGGAGGGTCAAACTGACCTCCCTGGCTACCCAAGGCCAAAGCTATATAACTGTACAGTGTGTGCTTTAACCCCACAGGACAACTCTCATATACCTGGGCACAATTTTTATTTTTTTAAAATTTTTTCCCCATCATTACTTATCCCCTCTATACCCTCTTCCATCTTCACCCACCCCACCCCCTCCTGGTCACTATTTTTAGGTAATTACCTTGGCTGCTTTTCTTCTTAAAAAAAAGAAAAAAGAACTTTTCCACAAGTTTCTCTTCCCCCAGATTGGAAAAACCATGTTTTTAACTTTAATTGAGATACTTCAAATCACAAATTCAGAGACTTGTAAACATGCAGTTCAATCCCACCCCCCAACCTGGGGAAAGTGGAGGGAAGAGGATTCATTCTGATATTTATGGTTCCAAAAAAGTTGTAATATTGTGCTTGGAACACACAGAACCAGCTATTAACTTCTTGCTACTATAACAAATACTAACAGTTCAGTCCAGGTTACTGTGACCTCTGACAGATCAAGGAAACAAGTTATTTTCTTCTCTTGTGATTATAGCACATTATAAGACACATATTGCCTTTTAATAAATGTCCTGGTACTCCGAGTTTCCCTTCCAATTCATGTAATTTCAACAGTCTGTCAAAAAAGAGCCAATAAACAAATATTGAATTACATTTTGTTAGGTCTTTCAAACCCTCAAGCTTCAGACTATAAAAACATCTTCTGTGTCTCCCACCCCGGCCACCCAGCTACTTTTCCATGTACCACAGGCCACCCGTAGATACAAAGCCAGGGGTGAAGCTGACATGGTCTACTTGGAGCCAGTAGACAGAAGGGCGATGAGACCTGATGAAGCACTTATGGAGAGAATATAGTTTCTGTAAGAATTGAACGTTAAGGAAAAATTAAGAACCCCAAATTAGTTTTTCAGCAAAACAAAACGAGCCCATCTCTGTGGAATACACTGCTTCCCTCCTGACACTCTGACAATGACATATAGTATTATTGTCTGCAAACACAATTTACAAGACAGAAGACTATAAAGAATATCCACAGGAAGCGTGTGCAGTTTTAAAAAGAAAATACAAGACAGAGACGTAGAGCACATGATCACAAAGAAAACACCTGCATTCCGCCTAACCTTCAGAAGAGACCAAAGACTTCTTTTTCCCTCTCCCCTCTCTGTGTATTGGCTACAATGGGCCTGTAAAAGGAAAGAGGTTCTGAAAGTTCGAAGCTACTCTTGGCCTCAGGGCTGGACCGCTTGGGACAGACCACTCCAGTACTCCCAGAAGATACAAGTTGAAGGGTGTCATATTTTATTACATAAAAATCTCTCAACTATTAAAAATATGGCTGCACACTCCGGGATAAGACCTTTAATAAGTTACCTTAAAAGAAGGTTGATTCTTGCCTGAAAGCTCAATTTAAGAGCAGCTTGAAACACTGCTGATATTATGAAATGTGTCTATTTAAATTGGCTATCCCCCAACCCCAAAATATCAGTAAACACATGGCTTACACCAGGAGCTGTTAAAGAAAGCAAGTTTGCTTTTGCTCCTTGGAACTCTTTTTTTTAATAGGCAGGTAACATAATCACATATGTGAGATTGCTGTTATTTATCATGAAGTCACAACTTATAGATTTGAAAGAATTTTACATCAAACCAAAAGCCCCTATTTTAAATCTTCAGAAACTTGCCTAAGGTCACAGTGCTATTTAATAGACCGACTTCCTGTACAAAACCAAAACAAACTACCATTTCTAGACTTCTGAAAAACATAATCAACCTTTTAAAGGATACACTGTGGGGTTGAAGTTCTTCAATATAAAGAAAGATGCAACAATGACCAGGACCAGGAACAGGGTGTTGTTATAGAAGATGGAAAATGTTGTGGCTTCGTAATCAGCAACTTCATTCTTCTTCCACAAGATTCTATAGACACAGAAATAAGTCAGTTAAGTTTCTAAATATGTTTAAAAAATTTTTAATACCACATGGTTCTAGTTCATTGTAAAGTAAGTTTTCCTTCAGTGTTCTGGGCTGAATGTGTTTTTAATATTAAATTTAGTCAACATTATCTTTTTCTGCTGAAGAAGGTATTTCACTCTATTGATGATAAAGTTACCTTTTTATCCAGGCAGTCAGGGCTTTGGAGAAAGGGAGTGAGTAATTGCAATTGGCTTGAATTCATCAGCTAAAACAGGCATGTTTCTTTAGGTCCTCACCTAAAACAAGCTTGATCAGCAGCAGCAGCAGCCTGACGGAGCTTCTTCGGCGGCTGGCTAGCTTGAGACTCTCCAGCCAACAGATTTCAGCCTTCAATATTATACCTTAATACAATCCCAAGGCCAAAAACTAGCTGTGGTCTCACAAAAGCAGACTTGTGACTATCTTTAGCCATCTCTAAATTCACACAAAGACTCTGCTTTATCATTAAGAGGATTTTTTAACTTTGTAAAACCACTTACCCTTTACTTAATCCTCTTTACCCATTGTATTTTATTAACTTATTAGTACTTTATCAGCCTTTGCTTTTATCTCTTCACCTGGGTAACAGGAAGTTCCAAGGTGCCCGTGAATAAAGGAGCCTTTATTCCTCTTGGTTAATGAACTTTCTAAAGCAGTTTTTAAAAAGGTAGATTGTGACCCATTAGTGGGACTTGAAATCAACTGAGTGGATTCAATGCTCAGGGAAAATAACAGTGGGTTGAGACCAGTAGTTTACTGTTTTTTATTTTTCAATAACAGTTGACATTCAATATTATATTAGTTTTCAGAAGTACAGCATAGTGGTTAGACAGTTATATAACTTACAAAGTGATCCCCCTGATAAGTCTGGCACCCATACATAGTTATTACAATATTTTTCACTATATTCACTAAGCTGTACTTTACATCCCCAAGACTATTCTGTAACTACCTATTTATACTTCTTAATCCCTTCACCTTTTTCACCCAGCCCCCCTACCCCTCTCCTTTCCGGCATCCATCAGTCTGTTCTCCCTATCTGTAAGTCTGTTCCTGTTTGTTTATTTCGTTTAGACTCCACATATAAGTAAAATCATACGGTATTTGCCTTTCTGACTTATTTCACTCAATGTAATACCTTCCAGGTTTGTCCACATCCTTGCAAATGGTATGAGTTCATTCTCTTTTATAACCAATACACTTCATTGTGTACATGCAAAGCATTGTCTTTATCCATTTGTCCATTGATTGGATCACTTAATCCATTTACATTTAAAGTAATTATTGCCATTTTACTGTTTTATTTTTATATGTTTTTGCAGTTCTTCTATGTTTCTTTACTCCCCTCTACACGTTTATGTTGTCATCATTTTTTACTTCTTTTGTGGGTGTCCCTTAATTTATTATTATAACTACACACGCAGTGGACAAATGAGACTCACTATCTGATATAATCAATCATCTGAAACCTACAAGAGCTATAACAAGCATTCTGAAACAAGCAGTTTAAGAACTTTTATTCTAATAATTCAATAAAAAGGGTTTTTAAAAATGTAGATTCTCTAACCTCCATCCCTATGCAAAAATTTACAATCAGAAAGCTATGCAGCCAACCTCATTAGAGCTGCTCTCTGAAAAAAGGCCTTCATTGTCATCATTTTAGTACTGTGCCTTTAGTTTTATAAAGGATCCATAGGAGACAACCACCTCAATAATGTTTTGGTGCCTTTCCAAAACCACTGTAGAAGACAGTGTTCATTAAGTTACTCAGTGTCTCTTAAATAAGGATACGCTTGATAAAGTCCTTCCAGATTCAGTGCCAGGAAAGCTTCTTTTCAGGACTTGCACACTGCTTCTCATGGGACAATGAAAGCAGTATGACCTCAGATGCTTCCCCTGACACTTGGCAGCTCAGAGCTAAGTTTAGTGCTCGACTGCTGTAACTACCTCTGAGGTCCTTGTTCATCTACTTTTCCTTACTTTCAAATGGTTTCTGATCTTTTAAAATTGTACTGCTTTTGTTTTATATGCACTTTAATATTGCAAGTCCCCACAAAGTCTTTCTGGAGCAAAGTGGGGTAAAAATTCCATTTCACAAACCACTTTGTAGATACTAAAACTTAAGATCCATGAAAACAAGCTCAATTCATGACTATTCAACCATCTGGTGACTCTGAAGCACACGTCTACTCAATCCTTCAGAGACTTCTGCTACTCAGATGTGACTATTAACCCTTCTAAGAGCAGGAGATAGGAAAAATTGGGGGTGGGAGCTAGGGATAACAAAATGGCACAGGATTGAACAGGAGACAAACTGAGTTATTTAATTTACAGCCTTGGGCAAGTTACTCAAGCCTCCTATACCTCAGTTTCCTGAGGTGTAAGATAGAGATAACAATAGCGCCTACCTTTCAGGGCCCTTCAGAGAAATAAATGAACTGTGTACGGCTCAGGAAAGTATCTGGTAGTAATAAAAACTCAAAAAGTCAGTATTCCCACTACTACGTCTTCTACAATACCAATGTTTGCCTCAGACAATTCCAATACCCACATTCTCTAAGCAGAAATTAAAACCTTATTTTCTACAAAGTATCCCCCTTTTCTGATTACCACAAACACTTTAAATAAGAATCAAACCTTTCATCTTTCTCCTTCCGAGACATCTTTCTATTATCAGCTTCAGAAAGTTTCCGTGTCACTTCTTTGGAAACAGCATCTTCCCTCTTCTGTGCTACTCTGGAAGGAAAAGAAAAAAGTTTCCACACATTCCAAGAGGGAAAATCACTCTCTCAGAAACACTCTGTACTCAGGTTTTGTATTGGCAACTGTATAATACTTTACATTTCAAGAAAATAAACTGTACAGAGAGTTCCAAGTTTATTACACTATAGTACTAGCCAAAAGAGAGGGAGGAGTTCAAGGAACTTCCAAGATGTGGTTTTATGTGTTTTCATTTCTACTTAAAAGGGAGAATTTTCCAAACTTTATGTATTTAATACGGAAATAGAAATCAAATGCTATTAGCATAACTTAGTTATTAATCACTATAAGTCCATTTTGTTTTAGACTATAATTTAACTGTTTAAGAAATAAATTTGACAAGGCATTAGCAAATGATATATGACTTTAATTCCAGTAAATAACAAGAGAGAAAACCAGGCTTAAAAAACAAAAAGGAATTAATAGTTATAATATTTTAAAGTATTGCTTTTAACTCCACTCCAAAGGACAATTTCACTAAAAAGAAATAATACCACATGGTCAGGGACTGACCACACCACTTTTAGTTAAATGAACCACTGGTATGAGGGCTGCACAAAAAAATAAGGAATCGGCCGGAAAAGGCTGCAAGTGATACGCTATCAGATCAGAATCTTCAGTGACAAGTCAAACAAAGAAAAAAATTAAATGTATCAGTAAAAAAAAAAACCGATACGGTGAAAGAGATAATGAACTATGATGAAATACAAAGTCTCCCAAAGATTATGACATTTCAATTCAACATGATATTTTTTCACAATATACGAGAAACTTATTAGCCATAAATATGGAAGAAAAAGTAAGAACTGATCAAAGGAACCGAACAATGACCTACACAGTCCCACTATGAAAACATCTGACATGACACTGAGATGCATTAAAAGCAACAGGATGTGGAACACAGAGATAGAAATCTGTTCACTGTATGTTCAATTCATCAATCCCTGGTGACTATGCTATGGTATTTAGTTCTGGTGAGTGTACCAAGGAAAACCATGGAGAAATCAGTAAGTCTTCCTGAAAAAAAGTCAAAGAATATTAAAAGCAATAGTTTTCAACCTTAACCACAAGAGCTTCTGGGATATAAATTAAGCACGAATTCTGTCCGGTTTTACCTATTTCTATCCCTATATCTCACCCCAAAAACAAGTTAGAATTATCTGTTAAAAAAGAAAACCTTTGGTCAGTTTCAACTAGTATGTTTTTCCACAAGTTGATAACCGGAAGGAGGAAAATCAATTTGTCTAAGAAAAACAGATAAAAGGAAATTAAGTTCTGAAACCTAAAGAAAAAGGCAGCTCAGGAGGCAGACGCTGTCTTTTTTTAAAAGATACTTTAGGACACTATAAATGTACTCTTTCCTCCAAAAATCCAACTTCACCTGACTCCTTATATAAAAGTTCTGCTCTGAAGGGCAGAGACTCTTATCTCTGAACCTCTGTAGCAGACCAGGCACTCAGTGTTTTTGAACTTCACACCCGACCACTCTTTTCTAAGAAAGACCAATTGGGAAAAATGGCACATCATTTACAGCAGAAACCTGTGTCTTGAAATAACAGGCATGTAAGAATGGAAAGGAAGACAATCCTAAATGAGGGAGGGCACGACACACTTTCAAAGGATGACATAAAGGTCGAATAAGAAGAGCTAAGGTCCTGTGCTGAAAGATGAGGCCACACTGCTTAGGAGGCAGACGAGTTGCATTTGGCTTCGATACACATGGAAAAGAGAAAGCCATGGTGAATTTTAAGTAAGAGAGTGACAGGATAAAAATGATAGCCAATAAGGATAAATACATGTTTCCCCTCCCCTCCCCCCCAATCAAGCAAAATAACACCTGCAGTTCACATGAATAAGGATTATGTAGGGTAATGTGCTTTATACCATACATGGCAGGGACTCCAAACTTTTGTTAAAAGACTGGACGGAGACTGCTACAGCAATCCAAGCAAAAACAGTATCCAAACTAGAGTGGGAACTACAGAAATGAAAAGACAAAGGGCATATAAAGCACACTGGTACTTTAAGTCTCAAAATTCCAACTGCCTTTGAGAAAGTACTTCCAAAGAAATACAGCACCAAGAAGTCTCCATTAAGTAAGCAAAGAAATATCCTGCTATCCTGACTCGAGTATTAAAGTGTGCATGAAAGCAACTGTAAAGGGCGTCTTTTCCAATTAAACATTAATTTATACCTGCTCCCATGAGGACCATCTGAAAAAACAAACGTCACCATCCTTCCTTAAGTTTTGACTGTTCCCCTCCAACATTTTAACCTTTATAAAACCAGAGTAATATAACTGCTTATAATTAATGTATAAATGTATAGTTGTGTGGTCTGGGTTTTCTTCTCCAAAAGCTGTCACTAAAATAATGATATATTTTATAATATTTCCTCTAAAAATAGAGGAAATACGGTCATCTTTTACATTTTTCATACACTCATAAGAAAACATGTAATTAGATTAAAAATGTTAGTTTAATAACAAGAAGACCACTTTTTTCACATCCAAAAATAGAAACAGAGAGCCCAGAACAATTATTTCCAGAAGGAATTCCCTCTGCTTCTGAAATGTTAATTTACTTGGTTTTGTTTTTCTGATTAAACCCCATGATTAAGGACAGTGCTTAAGTGTTCTAATTCCACCCTCAAAACCTACTTATAGCTGTGTCAGCACTGTCTCTGCTTTAAATAATTCTTCATAGCATTAAGATGCCTTTCCCCAATACAGATACACGTATATCTCAAATTAGTGCTTACTGAAACACAAATGGTCTTTCAGAAGACACCCTGCTATATAAAAATGCATCATACTTTCACTTGAAAATAATACTTACTTGTGCTTGAGAACAAATTTCACATTTTTGTAAGCAAAGGCTACCAAATAAGTGCTTACTAGGGTCATCACGCTGTACAGAACAGCAGACTGAATAAGATCCATGTGCCATATTCGCCAGTATAACCCTGAAAATTTAAAAGGGGGGTACAGAAAGAAACAAACCATTACCACCCAGTTATAAAGGCCTGCTGAATTAGTTATAGGGAAGCCTGGTAAAATACAGTCTGGGTTAGGGAATCCAATACAGTAGATGTGGAACTTCAGAGTGGGATATCCAGTAAAAAGTCTCAAGCTTACCCAATTCAGAACACTTGAAAAACATAACGTTCCTGATGAAATTTTCGCTGCTTCTAAAATGAGAACTCTAGCTCAACAAAATCACAATTCTGACTTCAAATTTCCCTCAAATTGCCACGTGCAGTCTCAGGCCACAGTTTATGCGCTGACGTGGCTGTTTTCCGACAAGGCGCGCTCAGCGCGGCCAGGGCGCCGCCAGGGCCCCGCGCCACGGTAGCTGTACGCAGGGTCTTACAAGGCAGAAAGAACCAACCTGGACTGGACCACCCAGCAACCGGGCGGTGGCGTGGGAGACAGGGAACTTCAAATTCGGGGACCTGAACCCTAAAAACAACTTTGGCCAAGTCTGCAAAGTTTTTCCATTCAAGTGACAATTGCCCTAATAGTATGGTTAAAAAATTTAAACAAGGTAAAATCACTGGCCCTTGGCACTGGACCAACCTCGCCCACCAAATTAGGAATATGATGCTCAGCAGTGTGAAGCAAATCACCGAAAGCTACACTTTCCCTTCAGTGCACGAGTTCATAGGAACCTCTCTCCCCTCCTGATTCATTCGTTTTTCCAAAGCAATGATGTGAGTTTAAGATCTAACACCGGGAAACGAGGACGGGGGAGAGAGCAGGCTGTCCGCAGGAAAGCCAGCAGCAGACCTTAAGGCGTCCGTGTAAATACAGACTCGGCGCTGCCACCCAGTACTGGAGCTGGAGAACCACGATTTCTGCGACCGGGCCCGGGAACCAGCGTACTCACAAAGCGCCACAAGCGACTTTCCTGGGGTGCCGCCCACGACTTTCCCGGCGAGAACACTGAGGCCCGCGGGGGTACGTGCTTCCCGTGCCCAGGGCGAGCTGGGGAGAGCGCGAGCCGAGGGTCCCGGCTCTCCCGACGTCCGCCAGGCCCTGCCACGTCC